AGCCGGCAGTCAGCACAGAGCCCGATGCGGGGCTCGAACCCACGAACCGTGAGATCATGACCTAAGCGAAAGTCGGACGCTTAACCGACTAAGCCACCCAGGCGCCCCTAAACCACACCTCCTTGATCCATTTGTCAGTTGATGGACATTTAGGCTCTTTCCAATAGGCTATTGTTGAAAGTGCTGCTGTGAACACTGGGGTACATATGACCCTATGCATCAGCACCCCTGTATGCTTCGGGTGAATCCCTAGCAGTGCTATTGCTGGGTCATAGGGGAGTTCTACTGCTAATTTTTTGAGGAACCTCCACACTGTTTTCCAAAGCGGCTGCACCAGTTTACATTCCCACCAACAGAGTAAGAGGATGCCTATTTCTCCGCATCCTCGCCAGCATCTAGAGTTCTCTGATTTGCTCATTTTAGCCACTCTGACCGGCGTGAGGTGGTATCTCAGTGTGGTTTTGATTTGTATTTCTCTGATGATGAGGGACGCTGAGCATCGTTTCATGTGTCTGTTGGCCATCTGGACGTCCTCTCTGGAGAAGTGTCTGTTCATGTCTTCTGCCCATTTCTTCACTGGATTATTTGTTTCCGGGTGTGGAGTTTGGTAAGTTCCTCACAGATTTTCGATACCAGCCCTTTATCCAATATGTCATTTGCAACTATCTTTTCTCATTCCGTCAGTTGTCTGTTAGTTTTATTTATTGTTTCTTTTGCTGTGCAGAAGCTTTTTATTTTGATGAGGTCCCAATAGTTCATTTTTGCTCTTGATTCCCTTGCCTTTGGAGATGGGTCGAGTTAAAAAGTTGCTGCAGTTGAGGTCAAGGAGGTTGTTTCCTGCTTTCTCTTGTAGGGTTTTCATAGTTTCCTGTCTCACATTCAGGTCCTTCATCCATTTTAAGTAGAGTCTAGAGCCTGTTTCAGATTCTGTGTCTCCCTCTGCCCCTGCTCGTGCCTCTCTCTCTCTTTCTCTCTCTCAAAAATAAACATTAAAAAAAAAAACCACAGCTTTCTAATAGACAACATCTTCAATCATATGAAACATGATATACAAGTAAACTGAACTCTTTACTAACACAGTACAAACATACCACTATCAAAACATCTTAAAACTATACAGATAGGGGCGTCTGGGTGGCTTAGTCGGTTAAGCGTCTGACTTTCGCTTAGGTCATGATCTCGCGGTTCGTGGGTTCGAGCCCCGCGTCGGGCTCTGTGCTGACTGCCAGCTCAGAGCCTGGAGCCTGNCTCTGTGCTGACTGCCAGCTCAGAGCCTGGAGCCTGTTTCAGAGTCTGTGTCTCCCTCTCTCTCTGACCCTCCCTTGTTCACGCTGTCTCTCTCTCTCCCCTAAAAAAAAAAAAAAAAAAAAAAAAAAAAAACAACTATACAGATATTTCTGGCCTATCAATACAGCAATGAAGTGCCAGAAACTCTAGGATGCAAAATGGCCTGCTTTGATTTTGGGTACAAATAGCCCTTCTTGAGCTGCTCTGGTCTAAAACAGACTGGTGCAGTGCCTCCCAAACTTTAGTGTGCATGAGAATCACTGGAAAGCTTGTTAATTCCCTGGCTTCACTCCTGAGATTCTAATTCAGCAGATCTGAGATGGGGTCTGAGAATTTACATCTTTTTTCCTTAGGGTTTTTTTGTTTTTGTTTTTTTTTTTACAATTTTATTCTTTAAAAAAATTTTTTTTCAAGTTCATTCAGAGAGAGAGAGAAATCACAGAGGAAAGGCAAAGAAAGAGGGAGAGAGAGAATCCCAAGCAGGTTCTGCGCTGTCAGCACAGAGCCCGATGTGGGGCTCAAACTCACAAACTGTGAGATCATGACCTGAACTGAAACCAGGAGCAAGACACCAACTGAGCCACCCAGGTGCCCCCATTTTTTTTTTTTTTTTTAAGATTTTATTCTTAAGTAATCTCTACATCCATCGTGGGGCTTGGATTTACAACCCAAGTTCAAGAGTCACATGCTCCAGCGACTGAACCAGCTGGGCACTCCAAGGACTTACCCTGTAACAAATTCCAGGCGATACTGATGATGCTGATGACACAGGTTCGCAGACCACACTTTGAAAGCACTTGCTTTTATACTACCTTTTGCCTTGTTCAAGACCCACCTCAGCCCTTAACACACCTAAGCTAGTTCAAATAAATAATTCCTTCCTTTTTTTATTGATTCAAATAGCTACGGTTTCCACTCTACATCGGGCACCATGCCAGCCAGGTACTAGACATATACATTAAAAAAAAAAAAAAAGTCACAGAATAGGATACCACAATTACAGTTTATACTGTAGAATGCTTTTTTCTACTTCATATTTGAAGCCAACACCATTTATATTACGTATAAAAGATATCAGATTATTCTACTCCAGATGAACAATTTCATAATGTATTTTCTCTCAACATACCTATCTCTCGAGCAAGGATAATACTGCTGAGGCGTGCGGGTTGGGAAGATTCAGCAATGAGCACAGCTTTTTGGGAACATAAGGTGCCATTTTCATATAAAGGCTCAACAGTTACTGCGTCATGATGGGTGGAATGCCTGCCAGAATAAAACACTTAAAAGTCTGAAATAAGAAAGTGGGTTAAAATTAACTTTTAGCGGAACACAGATTCTTATAGTTTTTCCTCCTTACATATTATCAGGTACAATTAAATTACACTTTAAAGTAGGGACCATGCTTAGAGACACAAGATTTCAGTGAGAGACTCATGAGAACCTTTCCCAATGACCCCTTGTACCAAGTTATACAAGTATTCTATTTCTCCCTCAATATTTTTTTAAAATTCTTTTTTTAAAACATTTTTTATTTATTTCTGAGAGAGAGAGAAAGAGAGAGACAGCGTGAGCACAAGAGGATCAGATAGGGAGGGAGACACAGAATCCGAAGCAGGCTCCAGGCTCTGAGCTGTCAGCACAGAGCCCGACGTGGGGCTCGAACCCACGAACCATGAGATCATGACCTGAGCCGAAGTCGGCTGCCTAACCGACTGAGCCACCCAGGCGTCCCTCTCCCTCAATATTTAAAACAAGCTTCTTACAGGGGTGCCGGGGGGGCCTCAGGCAGTTGGGCCGCGGACTCCTGATTTCGGCTCAGGTCATGATCCCAGGGTCATGGGTTGGAGCCCTGCCACCAGCTCTGCACTGATAATGCGGAGCCTACTTGGGATCCCCTTTCTCCCTCTTCTCCCTGTCCCTTCCCCGCTCTCTCCCCTCCCCTGCTCTCTCTTTCTAAATAAAATTTAAAAACAAAATAAAACAAAACAAGACCGCTATATTCTCCACTCAGTCTGTAAACGCAGTGACGGGTTTCCAATCACGAGAGGCGTAGGTTTCTCCTCTGAGGAAAGCACTTCCATCCAATGTAAACCTGGGCTGCTAAGGTGGAAAGGCTGCCTCAATCATGAGGTGTGTAAGTCCAACTCAAACAACAACAAAAACAAAACAAAACCCAAAAACCTCCTGGGGCTTTGATGCTGAGCCTCCTTGCCTCAGGCCCGACAGGCGGCGCGGGCACCGGGGCGCTGAGCGGGAGGTCCCCGGGGACCCCGAGGAGCCCAGACACCGGGGCCCTGGCAGCCGCCCACCCTCCGCGCAGCAGTGGCCGCCGACGCACGCCGTCACCCAGGGGAAGGCCCTGCCCACCCAACGGGGACCTCCTCCAGCCCCTCAAGTTCTCCCTTGTGCGGGCGCGGAAGACAGTAACGCAGCGGCGCGCGGGAGGCACCCCACCCCAGGCGCCCGGCCCCCGCAACGCGTCCTCAGGCCGGCGCCAGGCGGCGCAGGAAGGCCGCGCAGCCCTCACCAGGTGTAGCAGCCGCGCTGCGCCTCCAGCAGGAAGGGCACGCGGCCGGGCTCCCGGCCGAAGGGGAGCAACACCTGCGGCACGTTGAGTTTGCTGGCCAGGGCCCCGAGCAGACACTGCAGCAGCAGCGGGACGCGGGGTGCGGGCCAGCCGACAGACGGCCGGCTCCATCGCGGCCGCGGGGCCCCGGAGCCCGTCATGGCGACCGCCGCTTCGGCGCCCCCAGCGCGACTGAGGCCGCGGCCCCAGCGCCGGCCAATCCGCGGGCGCCACGCCACAGGGGGCGGCGCCACCCCCCGCTGGGGATTGTGGGAGCGCCGGGACCGCCGGCGCGTGGCAGCGGGAGGCGCGAAGCCGGCCGCGTGCTCGGAGGGCAGCTTCCTGAAATCCTGGCTTCGAGGAAACGAACAAATTGCCGAGGAAGAGCTAACTTCTCCCAGTGTAATTTCTTGTTGCCTACCTTGTGGTCAGCTCCTAGCCAAAAAAAAAAAAAGTTTGGGCTGGTTGCGGTTTTGTTGGGGGGCTGTAATTTCCAGGTGGCATCGGTCGGTGCCTGCAAATGGAAATCCTTGCAGCCGCGGTCATGAACAGCTGACTTTGCCAAGGGAGCGGTGTCGTTTTTATCAGGAGTCAAACCTGTGTCCGGCCTCAAGGCCAGAGCGCAGGAAAGGCCGGGCACTGGCGTCCGGAAGGCTGCCACGGAGGCGTCCGCGCCCACAGCCGGTCTCTGAGCAAACACGCCTGGTTAACTTAACCTGTGCTCTCCAGGTACCCAACAGGCTGTCGGCTCAGAGTCGGCCGCAGGGCAGTGTGTGAACAGAGCCTAACAAATCCGTGGCTTAGAAGAATTAACACAGTTGTGAAGGAAAAGCACTGAACATGGCAGTGCTAAGTTAAGTAGCCTAGAAGAGGCCTGGCACATAACTATTAACTTCTAACCCTCACACTTACCCTGATAATACACATTATCTTTACACATGAATAAATCTGCTTGTGTGCATCAGGACATACAAGTTAAGAATCTGAGCGGAGTCTGAACCCAGTTTTGGTGGTCTGCTTCCACGGCGAGCGTTACCACACGCCGTTGCCACCACCCATGAAGATCTGAGTTTTAGCTCAAACCTCATGGTTCTTGTGGGGAAAGCACATTTGGAGCAGTAAATAAAAGTCAAGGAGGTGTGAGGATTGGAGGGACTGGTTCTTTATTTCAAAAAGACACTTGTCAATTTTCAGTATCAAAACAGTTGCACTATTGGTTTCTTTCTCTCAATCGGCCCCCGGAGAGAGCACACCAAAGGGGAGTGCACTGTAAGCCAAGAAGCTGCAGGATGCACACCTAACAGACCTCACAGAAACCTCACCAACAAGGGGGACTGGGCAGGGAAAGAAACTTTAAAAGATCAGCACACCGTCAGCCCACAGACTGTAGAGTTCTCAGCCCGATTGGGTGGCCAAGGTGCCCCAACCCTAAGGAAGCAAAGTTTCAAAATAATATAAAATTTAAAAACAGTTTTGTACATAAGCTATTCAAGATTTCTCCAGCACTAACTGATACAAAGCACAATGACATGGCACTTTTAGAGACAGCAGCTTCAGTCCCAGAAAAGGGTGACGAGATGAGTTTGTTTCATGTGGCTAAATCAGTGGCAAACACATAATTTTCTCTTTCTTTCAAGGAGGCAGGAGAGCAAGTAAGTGGTCACCTCGACAGAAAGGGGACACCATCCGTTCTGTGAGCGGTTGGCAAAGGGGTAAGGATAGGACAAGGATTTGGTCTCAGATAGAGGTCTCACGCCTTAATTTGTTTGGTCACTTCTGATGGAAAAAAAATGGAAGTTGCTCAAAGATACCTTAAAGCTGAAACCCTGAGCCACACTTTTTTGGCTAACTCCTGGAATCACCCTTCTAATTTGGCTGGTACTTTGGACAGAGCAACGAAGCTTCCCAGAGTGGGGATCCTTCGGGGCTCTGGCCCTCAGCAGGCAGGGCCCTGTCGCGCTCCCTCCTCTGCGGAGAGAGCAGTGTGCGTTAAGCTGAAAAGTTACTTTCCAAATGTGAGGAAGGGGTAAGACTGCTGCTTCAGAACTCTGGAATCGGGAGGAATGTTTTACAAATGGTCGCTACATCAACAACAAAAAAGGTAATTACAAAATGTGTACATCACAACATGCTTGTAAAGACACTTTGCATTGTGCTCACATTCCCTTAAACGTTGTTCCCAAAGGTGCTCAGCCTCAAGCCCAACTGGAGTCTCTGGGGAGAGGCAGAGACAGTTTGGCGAAAAAGACATAGGGGTTGGGGTGGGAGGGGCGGCAAAAAGGAGAAAGCAGCCTTCCAGTTAAAGATCAGCCCTCAGGTTCCAGGACGGCTTCGGGCAGGCTGGCCTCGGGCGGAGTCGGGGGCAGGGCGGCCGGGGCCTCTACATCTCATTCAGGTCAAGCAGAGTCTGGTCCAGCATCCTTTGTGTACAGAGGTGCTCCTCTTTGGTGCATTTCAGCTTATCTGGTGGGTGTAAAGGAGAAACGTTACTAGAACTAGAAGTAAATGTCAATGTCTACCCACAGTGAGGGTCACTCCTGCCGCAGAAGCACAGCGGCCCAGCCACAGGCCTGAGCCCTGCACCGCCCACCTCTGCGGGGTGATCAGGGTGCCCCCTGGGGTTGCGGGGTTGCTCCACTTCTGGGGGAAGGGGCCACGGCCTATCAGCCATTTCCTCACACACCCACACCCGACCAAGGCTTTCAGTTTCCAGCCCCCAACGGAGGCAGCCTTGAGCACCAGCCACTCTTTCTTCCGGCTCTGCCCACAGGGTGGTACTTATTTGACTGGGCCGGGGGGCGTGACCCTCGAGAACAGGGATGGGCCTGTTTCTACCAGAGTCTCAACCTGAGAATCCAAGATCTTCACCACCACCGCCTATCACAGAATGTCTGAAGGAAGCCAAGTCGAGAACGCGAGCAAACGTAAGCAAACCTCAACAGGTTTTTAGAGCTACTGCTCACAACTAGCTTATGAGAGTCACTCACAATCAAACATAAAAGCAGCAAAAGCAAACAAGGAGGCAAACGTCAGGAAGAAAAGCAGCAGCTGAATACCCAGCAAGCAAAACCACAGATCTACTGATGGCCCGCACCCCTTTCTCTCCCTTCCCTTTTTTCCACGGGGTCAGAAGGGCCTATCTCTGGGCCGGCAGATGAAGCAATCGCGACATCTTGTCTAATCGGTCCTTTTATTGTTAGAAAACATCCATGGAAAGGGGACCGCAGCCTACAGTCAGCACAAGAGGGGAAGAGCAGCCAGGGTAGAAACCAGAAAACTCTCCTAGGTTTTCCTGGCTCCTTCTCTCAGGCCCCGCCCTCTTCACCCATCACCTCTAGAAAGGGATAGAACATCTGGCCTCACTCAACCCCCGGGCTGGGAAGTCAGTAATCCTCTCACTGCTCCAATTAAAAAGCAATTTGCTTGGGGCAAAAGGACTTTCAAAAAAACAACCAACTTTCCGCTGGGGCCCAGGTCAGCGGCGTGCGCACCCCACCCGCGCGCTGCTGCGGCTCCTAGAGAGCCCCCGGCTCCGCGGCAGCGACAGAGGAGAGGACACGGGAGGAGGCGGCAAGGGGGACGTCCGCGGAACACCAGGAATAAACCCTGGAACTCCCGACGAGCCGGCAGACACCTCGCGCATCTGTGGGCAGGTGGCCGCGGGGACACAGGGCAGGGAGAGGCAGGCAGCGCAAAGACCAGCAGAGGAATAAAATAAAAACTGCGGCTGCCAAGTTGGACGCACAGCGCTTTGAGAAGGAAAAACCGGTCTCCTTCACAAGGGCATTCACTCCCTCCCTGAGGGACACAGGGCAAAGGAAGGAACACAGCTGGCTCACGAGAATTACATTTACAACACTGAGGGTTTGAAAGGAGCTGATTTTTCTGTAAAAGCATTCAATCCGGCACTGCGAGTGATAAACTGGGATCAACATGCGACATCCATTCAATCTACTTTCTAGTGCTTCTTGTTGTAGGCTCTCAGTGGTAAGCCCAGCACAGGGGCCTATCCAATCAAACCCCACCTCCCCTCTTCTAAGAGAACCCAGTCCCGGGGCGCCTGGGAGGCTCAGTCGGTAGAGCGTCTGGCTCGGCTCAGGTCATGACCTCGCAGTTCATGGGTTCGAGCCCCACGTCGGGCTGTGCTGACAGCTCAGAGCCTGCTTCAGATTCTGTGTCTCCCTCTCTCTCTCTGCCCTTCCCCCTCTTGCATTCTGTCCCTCTCTCTCTCTCAGAATTAAACAACAAAAAAAATTTGAAAGAACCCAATCCCACTGGGGTCAGCAGCATGTCATGGCCCCAGAAAAGGTGAATCGAGAGTATCCTGTTCTCTTCTCCAGCCTCCCTTGCAGTTAGGGGTGATCATGGCATCCATTTCCGGCTAATGAGATACAAGCGTAGTCGCTGGAAGTTCCGGGGAAATGAGCTTTCTTTCTTGCCTTGAACATGAATGTGAGGATGAGGGTAGCAGATCTCCACCTTACAAGAGGGCCAAGAAAATCACAGAAACCCAGCTACCCCAAGGCCACAGTTGCTCAAATCTGGGCTTGTTATTACAGGAGAAAAGTCAGTCCTCTATTTATTTAAGCTACAGCTAAGCTGTTTCTTATAACCAAAAGCATTCCTAAGTAGGTAGGTGCTCAAACCACCGACGTTAGCAGAGTGTTTCACCTGGAGCACCTTCAAGAGGGGCACATGCAGGGAGACTGAAGCCACCCAACCAGCACAGGGGTGCTGGGACTCGGGGACAGATCTTACTGGTCTACTAGTGTCCGTTTCTCAAGTTCATGAGCAAGTGTCTTCCAGTGTTTTACAGTCTGTTTGTCTGTTTCAAAATGGTCTCAGGACCTTAGTATAAAGACGCGGCCTCTTCCAGCTTTCCGAGGTTAGTGCTACGTCTTAAAATCAACTGCATCTGTGGGCTGACTGTGCCCAAGGTCAAGGTGTGCTGCTCCGGCACCAGCCCTCTGGGCAGGTTTTCTACAATTCTACCCAGAAGGTGAAGGCCAGTATGGTCCCAATAAGACTTGCCGCTTTGTGAACACCATCAAAACAGACAACGTACATATACACAAAATGATCCTGGGAGGGAATGACCAAAATAACAGTTGTATTAAAAGGCAAAATTAGAGCAACCTTTTAGAACTGCACTTCTCATTAAACCAGAGGTTCTTATATGTGTACGACTATCGCCTCTTCTCTCCCCTTAGGAAGAAATTTGGAAACGTACAGGGCACACAGTAGCCAGAGGACCCTGCACAGACGTGCTGGGCAGGACACAGCACGAAGCGGGGCTGCTCTGTGCGTCCCAGAGTGTCCACCACTGAGAAACACCCCCTTAGTCCAGAAACTCCAGGAGGCCTGTGGTCAGACCTGTCTCCTTCACTGGGGCTTCTCTGACCAACGCAGGGGTTCAAATTTCTGTGGAGATCTCATCTTTTTTTCTCTTTTTTAAATGTTTATTTATTTTTGAGAGAGAGAGCATGCAAGTGGAGAAGGGGCAGAGAGAGAGGGGGACACGGAATCCGACGTGGGGCTCGAACTCCTAAACCATGAGATCACGGCCTGAGCTGAAGCTGGACGCCTAACCGCCGGAGCCCCGCAGGCGCCCCTGAACTCTCCCTTCTGAAGCTTTCCGTGGTGGGCAGCGCCGCCTGACTCTCCGGAGCATCCGTGCCCACGACGGTTACTGGGACTCCCACTCCTGTCGTGGGGACGTAGGGTGTCATCAGAATCGTATCCTTCAAAACAGCCTGGTCAATGAGGGTTTTGTTCCACGTAGGGAAGAAGTAAAGAGACAGAGGAGCGGAAGCATTTTCCTTCCTGATTAAGCTCGAGAGCACACAGTTCCCTAAGAACTGTATGAGACCAGGAGACAAGTGTGGTCATGCTCTCACCTTGAACTTAGTAATAAGGGTTCTAACTCTGCAACCTCAGTGATTAAAAACTCAGGATCAGACAGAGCTCTTTAAAGTTCTTGGTTCCCTGAGGCGTCTGGGTGGCTCAGTCGGTTAAGCGTCCAACTCCGGCTGAGGTCATGATCTCACGGTTCATGAGTTCGAGCCCCACATCAGGCTCTGTGCTCACAGCACAGAGCGGGGGGCTGTTTCAAATACTGTGTCTCCCTGTGTCTCTCTGTCCCTCTCCCGCTCACACTCTCTCTCTCTCTCTCAAAAATAAACATTAACAAATAATAATGTTCTTGGTTCCCTGAAAACAGCAAAATAAAACAAACAAGGCAAGCCAGAGAATCCATTTGGTCTGATACTCCTTTTAGCCATGTCCAGTCAGGGAACAAGCCCACGAATGCTACACATCCCTAGGCCTCACTGGTCTGAATCGGGGCCATTTCACTCTGTAACAGGACAAGGGAGCGGGGTTGCTCCAGAGTAAAAGGGAACTCTACTGGCTTTAAAGCCTCATGGTTCAAGAGATGAAAAAGATCAGATTTTGGGTCCCCCCCCCCCCCACTTCTCCAACTATTAAGACTAGGATTAGAGAAAGAGAGAGTCTGGGTGGGACTCAGATAAGGCTGCCCCGATCATCATCGGGCAGCCCACAGAGCAGGCAATTCTCCTGTGCACTGCACTGCATCCCAGCAAGGGTGGGGAAGGCTGGAAAGGACACTAACCCATCAGTCTGTGCTTTGATCTAATATGAAGATGGGGGGCACCCGGGCGGCTCAGTCGGTTAAGCATCAACTCGATTTCAGCTCAGGCCACAATCTCACAGTTCGTGAGTTCGAACCCCGCCTCAGGCTCTGCACTGACCGCATGGATGGAGCCTCCTTGGGATTCTCTCTCCCTCTCCCTGCTGTGTGCGCGCGCGCACACGCTCTCTCTCTCTCTCTCAAAATAAACAAACTTAAAACAAGGAATTAAGAGGAAAAAGTTAAGAGATGAAGCGCTTGCTCTGGGATTACCAATGCTGTTTTCTGACCTCATTCCCATAGCTAGTCCCGGCTCAAGTAACACGAGCTTCTGCAGTAAATGGAGGACTGGACTCAGCCCTACTCCTAAATTCACATCTCCCTCTTACCCTGGCTTATTCGTCCCCATCCTCCCCCACACCAGTCATGCCCGTGGGGAGAGACAAAGGCTACAGAAGTCAGACCTCACTTTCCCCCCTAACGCCTGTCCTTTCCCACTTCTCTCTTTTGAAAGAAGCCGGTCTCTGAGCCCAGTCAACTCTTCCTGCCCCTAGAACACCTAGAATAGTACTACCCAACACGGCAGGCAGTCACTAGCCACGTGTGGCTAATTCTATTTAGATGAACTAAAAGCACAGAACATCAGGACTATAGCTCCTCAATCACAGGAGCCACGTTCTGGGCGCTCAGCAGGCTCTGTACGTGGCGAGGGGCTGCTGTGCTGGGCATCACTGCTCTAGGCTCGAGTTCTTGCCTTTACTTTCTTTCCACTAGTTCACTCTTCTGCTCCTTGAAATACAGCTTCTCTCCTTGATCTTAATGCTCAAAGCACACCCTCGAATTAATCAAGTATCAATGACAACTTCTTCACAACCAGTTGGAGTTGGGAAGCTCTGGCGATCATCCAGCCGCAAGTGCTTCAATGAGCACAACAGCCCGTCCCACGGCCACCCCTCCAACCGATTCCATTTGGATTCCTCCTCCGCACAGGGTTTCCTGTTTGCTGAATTCTTTCTACACGTGCAGCTGTCTTTCAGGACTCAGATGTACTTTCAGGTTCAAAATTGCCGGCCACCCGTACGGAGTTCCAAATCTCTCTTACATCCTCCTATGCCCTCAACCCCCAGAATTCTGTCTTTCACCTGGATACCTGCCAGTTTTTAGACTTCTATTCTCTTCTACCTTCTCTCGCTTCTTCAAACCAGGCCCAAGTGACCTCCCTGCACTGCTAACGCCACCATTTCCCTAGGCTCGAAAGCAGTTACCCTGGACTTTGCCTCCTCACACTGAGTGCCATTCATGGTGCCCATCTTCAGGGCCATGTCTGTATGAAGGACGATCTCTGGGAAAACCCCAATAACCGAGCCCAGTTTTCCTCCAAATGAGGCATACTCGCTGCTGGTGCTGTCAGATCTCGGGACAGTACACACTTGTAAACGCTTCAACAAAACTTATTTGCGGGGCACCTGGGGGGCACAGTCGGTTGTGTCTAACTTCGGCTCAGGTCATGATCTCTTGTGGGTTCGAGCCCCACGTCGGGCTCTGTGCTGAGCACTTAGAGCCTGGAACCTGCTTCGGATTCTGTGTCTCCCTCTCTGTGTCCCTCCTCCGCTTGCACCCTCTCTCTCTCTCTCTCTCTCTCTCAAAAATGAATAAACGTTAAAAACTTATTTGCTGTATTGTTTTAACGTGCATAAGGAAAAATCACTAAGGCCACATCAAACCTTTGATTTCAAATTAGAATTATGTAGAGTAAGACAAATTTGAAAACAAGAGTAAATATGAAGTAAAAAATAATGTAGGGAGCACAGGAATATGGCAAAAGCCACCAGGCAGTAGGCAAATGACTGAAATTTGTGAATCACCATCTTAATGAGCCACTTTGATAATCTGCTCCCCTTGTGAAACAGACTTAACTGCAGAATCCACTCTTCCCTCTGGCTCCTCAGGTCAGAACAAATTTGTGTTTAAAATCTCCTGTGGCGTCCGCATCGCCTACAAACCAAAACTCCACACCTGACTCCCGCACACACTTGCCCCCCCTGTCTAAATCTATCTCTACGGACATTACGTCCTTCCCATCTCTAGCTGTGCCTCTACTCTTCTGATTATCTTTGACCAGAATGCTCAATATCTGCTATCCCTCAATCAAATCTGTTTGTCCGAAATCACATTTTTTGGAACCCACTAAAAACGGAGGCACAAATTTTAGCACATTTATTAAGTACCTGCTCTGCGCCACCTTCCGGGAGTCTCTCCTAACTCTCCTAATTCCCCACTGAAATCAACCTCGTCCCCATCCGACTCCCCCCACGTCTGTGATCTGTGGCACTAACCACGGATCATCTTTAGCTCTATACAGGTGGTGTCTCTCCTAGACTCTGGGCAGCCTGCAAATAGGGACGGTGCCTCCAACTTTGATTATTTCTGTCCCGCCATAATTCTTTGTGCCTAAAAGATGCCAGTTAAGCATCAGCTGAATAATTCATCTATACCTTAATCTCAAAGGCTGTGTAGCAAGAGTAAATGGTACAAACAAAAAGAAATCTGAATTCAATACAACCGAAAGTTTCAGATTATGGAAAACCTCCGTACTGGGCTCTAACTGGTTAAAAAAAAAAAAAAAAAAAAAAAGCAAGTTTTAAATATATCATCTTCCGGGAAACCGAGGTACTAAGGGACCAGCTCTCGGGTGCGTAGCTGAGTACCACTGCCTGCTGCACGACCCGGGCTGGCCCACCTCCGCTGTGCAAACTGGAAGAGGAGTCTGCAGAGCTGCCATGTGATTCCACAATGTGAACCAGGCACAGTTTTACTAACAAAAATTTACCATTCTTATGTGTGTAATAAGCCACCCATTGTCGCCTTGTGCATATTATGTGAAACATGCATGACTGGATGTTTGGTTTTGCCAATAATAACCGTTGATCACGTCTCATGTGCCACTACCACAGACCGGCAGGCAGATGGCATGATGCCCCAAATACGTTAGAAGGGTTGAAATGAAAAAACATAAAACTGTTGAGAATCCTATGTACTTGGGACTTGGATGACCTAATAAGTCAAGGCTGGTGGTAACACATCTGCGGCCATCAGGTGCTCTAAAGATGCACCATGTGAAGGAACCCCTGAAAAGGGGCCAGGGACGCGATCGGGAGGCACTCGGGCCCTCCTGGAGGAGGGACGGACTCGAGAGGCCAGGAGCCTTCCAGGCAGGTGGACTCAGGAGCCTCCGGTGAAGGCCTTCGACGACCTCCCACCACCTGTGCGTCACACTCGTGGCCCCCCCGCCCCCCGGGAACCTCTGCTAGTCCACCCCTCCGACAGACTCCGATCACTTGAGCTTAAATGTTAAGAAAAATAGACACACACAAAAGTGGCTTTGATTATATAAGTCAGCGGAGGGAGAGCCTGCAATAGCTGCTCCCCGTGTCACACCCCCAAGGCTCCTCCTCCGGGACAGCAGCAGCTCTGTCAGTGACACAAATACAGGGTGGCAGGAGGCTTCCAGCAGCTCGATATTTTAATTTGGGGGTGGGGGAGGTGGAAGAATACACAAGTTGCTTTGTGCGCCCCCTACATCCTAATGCCTTGGGGACCAGCCAGGCCGACCCAAATGGAATCCAGAGCGAGAGTGGGGCGTTGGGTTCCCCGAGGAAAGGGGGCAGATCCAGAACAGAGCAGAAACGGTGACGGTTATCTGTACGAAAAAGTAAGGAGACTCTAGGTAAGAAGGACAAGCATCAATCACACAGCGATTTGGGAGAAATGGGAAGAGAAGGCAGTAGGAATGAGGAAAGACAGCCAGATACCACAGCCTGAGTCATTTGGCTTCTTCTCAGGGTTAGTGGGAAAGATACAAGGAGGTGCATTAGCATCAAGGATCAGGGGTCCACAGCAAACAGGCGAAGTCCCCAACAACTCTTTTTGGTGCTTTTTACCGCCTGGCTTACTCTGGGACTCAGCTTAATTTTTGGGTGAATTTGAGATCATGGGTGTTTCTCCTGAAGTTCAATACCAGGACACAAATTAGATACACAAGGGAGATCTGAATTCTGTTATGCAATCAATGTCAGGGCCCAAGTCACTAGCTCTCTGGGCCCTATGTTCTTAGTTATATGATGACATAATTCTACCTTCAGCAGCGTCTCCTCTGGGAAGACTAAATTTGAGAAGCAAATAGAAAAATTACAGTTATACTGAAGGGACTATGAATTTAAAAATATACAAAAAAAAAAAAAATCACACATAGATCAGGGTGCTACAACCTATTCAATATTAAATGCCACTCTGGCTTTTGCCAACAAGTAACCAGCACCAATATCTTAAAGGTGGTGTGAAGACCCCAGTTCCCAGAGGATAAAGGGAAGCACACTGAGCATAGCCTGTCCCCCACCCACAAGCCAAGGCCCCAGCCCCACTCTGCTATCAGATAGTTACATAGAGGTCATGTCATTGAGGGCGTGGTCCAGCTCCTCGCTAATGGCCTTGTACTTCAGTTTCTGGGCATAGAGCTCGTCTGGACAGGCACAGGAACACAGGGAAGGCCCAGGGGACAGAGCGAAAGGTGTCAGAAGCAGATGAAGAGAAGGAATCATTAGAAATTAGGAAAAGTGTGACCGTGGGTCTAATACCACGGGTTAGGAGGACATCTGCCCTGGCGTCCACGACAGGCCGTTTTCAGATCCGCTGCCCCCACCCAGACCACCGGGCTTCTTGCCGCCTCCAGTCCACTGCAGTCAGGGTAGGGAGCCCAGCACGGCCATGACTGGGCACCCCCCCACCCAGTTTATCCACTTCCCAGCAGGAATGCCGGGATGGATGCAAACAGAGACAGGAGAAAGCACACGTTAATATTCAGACTATTCTCCACCTACCACACAAGACCAGTATTCTTGGCCCCTTCGCTCTACAGGCTGCCCAGCCCCCAACTCACCCCAGGTAAGAGAATGATATGCTGCCCTGAGCATCCAGGGCAGCGCGTGTCAAGAGTTCTCAAAGCACATCGTCCCTTGTTAGAGTGCACACAGCTGCCAAAACGTGGGGACAAAGCACACTGAGAAAGCCCCTGAGAGTGGCCAGCACTGAGGCACAGACACCCCGGGGTCGCGTCTCTGGGAGAGGTCCCCTGCAGCCGACGTGAAGAACAGGAGGGCCAAACGTAGCCGTGCAGCAACACGGCTCCTACTGCCCCCTCAAAGTATGGCTACGATTTCACCTCAGAGACACCCTTTCACACCACCAAATCCGAGGTAAACGCAGCCATTACGAGTGTCCTCCAAGAGAAGGATGCAAACTCCAGAACACTAGGTAAAGTCTTATTAAAAGGAAGAGGTTGTATATGTAAAAATCCAATTCTAGGTGTTGACCCATTTCACCTCGCTGCGGCACAGGACAGGGCACGGGACGTGTGCCGGGTCACCAGCAACTCCCTCTGGTGCACAGGGAAGGAGGGAAGTGGTCAGTGGGCAAGGCCTCCCTCTGCAGCTGTCGGATCCCGCTCCCAGGCCCCATACCTTCCAGGTCATCAATCGTCTTCTCCAGCTTGGCCACTGACCTCTCGGCAAACTCAGCACGGGTCTCCGCCTGGGGGAAATGTGGCACCAGACGGAATCAGAGATGAGCAAGACAAGAAGGTTCTCTGTCTCCTCCACCTTCTAATGTACACCCTTCAGAACCAAAGCCAGCTGGTCAACTCCAAATTAGTGCCCCATGCACCTGTAGATATGGACTCCTCCCCTAGACTCCCTCACTCACCTCCTTGAGTTTATCCGTGAGAATCTTGATCTCTTCCTCATATTTGTCCTCCTTTTGCGAGTACTGTAAGAGAAGCGAGAATGCGAGTTGCAGAGCCGCAGCCACTCACACGCACGAGCCTGCCACCCCGCCTGCCACCGCACTCCCCCTTCCAGGGAGTAACCTCCTGGACTGTAATGTGCTGACTGGCCCACGAGAAAAGGGGCCATTTCTGGACAAGAGATCCTTAAAATCCACAAGTCAATGCCCTTCAGACTGCAGTAGCCTCGATTAGAATCCTCTGGGTTGTTTATTTTTAAAACTGACCTATGCTTTGATCTTATTCAAATCAACCCAAGGAGGTATTTTCCTTCCCCGTTTCACGAGGAGGTGCAGCACCCCCCCCAGGCCACATGGCTGAAACAGTCCCACATGATGCTACAGACGCGTCCTCTGTCTCGATCGCTTGTTAGGTCTCGGACCGACTATTTGTTACCCCCATCAGTCTGTTAGAAAACCTCCCGGGGCCCGTGATTACTGCTAGTTAGCGCAGTGGTGTCAGCCCGAGGAGAACATGACCCCCAAGCCCCTGAGACCACGAACGGATCTGAATTCAAGCAATGAAAGCACATGGGAACTAGCATCAGCCCCAGAATACGGGTGGCAAGGACGCCTCACTAGATTACATAACGACTGGGTTTCTCCAGTCTCTCGTCAAGGGCAGGGCTGGGTGGGCCCAGGCCCCAGAGCCTGTCACGGTCACAACCAGCCCCTACCTTCTCCGCCTGAGCCTCAAGAGACTTGAGGTTGTTGGTGACATTCTTCAGCTCCTCCTCCAGCTCAGAACACTTACTGTGAATGTTTTACATACCGCAGGAGAGGAAAGGGGAAGAAGGAGAGAATAAAAAAAAGGGGAGAGAGAGACACACAGACGTGAATTGAACCTATATGTAGAGAGAGCTGGAAGGCATACGGGGGAAAAGAGAAGTTCCCAGGTCACCTGAGCAAGTGTCAACCCGCCCCCCTCTACCGCAGAGCCTGGCGGACGCTGGGCCCTCCTGGGCTAGGACTCGGAATGTCGGATGCTAGTAAAACACTTGAGAGAAAGCACTACAGGAACGAGTCATAACGGCTACCTCGGGTGGAGGTGGGAGCGGGTGCCCAACCCAAATAGTCCCCCAAATCACCCCAGGGAAGGAGAGGCCCTGTGGAGAGGCCCTGTGGAGAGGAAGAAGAGATGAAAGATGCCAAGTAAGAGGGAAAGAATGGAGCATTCCATGAAGAGATGGGAAAGCACTCAACAAACCGACCAGTGGAGGGGAGGCAGCTGCAAAACAAAAACCAAAACCAAACCAAACAGAACCACACCGTACACGTAACCTCGCTGTGGTCTAAGGGTTAGTACCTTTTCTTCAGCAGCACTCAGACACTTCAGGTTCTGGTCCATCAGTCTGATCTGCTCATCCATCTCCCGGCAACGGCTGTTAGTGACAGTCACGGGGATCGCACAAGCCAGGTTGTGGGGAGGGAGAAAGGTCAAAAAGGACACAGCAAGAAAACAAGCAGCAAAACGAAAAAAAAAAATGTTTTTCAAAAAATGGGAAGAAAACACCACGATGGACATGGTATGGGGGGGGGAATGGAAAGGAGGCACAGATATATATGCATCAGCACTGACTTTGTTAAACAAGGCCCAGAAGGTGCCAACAGGGGAGCTCTTCATGTCTGCCCTTGCCCTAAGGCCCCCAGACTGGCCACACGGTACGAGACAAAGCTCAGGTTGGCACAGCCACAGCAGAGGGACAGGAAGCAGGCTTCAGGTGGGAGGACCCTGTCGACCCTGCCGGCTAACTGCTCACCACCTGCTCATTAGTGTTTATTTTCCCTCAATTTGCAAACTGCCCCTACGAGAAATAAAGGAAACTCATCCGTCACCTGTCACTAGTCAAGAGAGGTAACAGCCCACAGCCATTCCTAGGGTCTAAACGAAGAAGCCCACTCTCTAGGCTCTGTTTAACAAGGTTGAAGGAACACTAGTTTATTCACATTAATGCGCAAGCCAAAGGGGGAGGGACAGAGCGGGGGGCGGGGGGGGGGCAAGATTTGGGAGCAAGATACTCACGACTCTGCCAGCTCAGCTCGTTCTTCTGTGCGCTCCAAGTCCCCCTCGATAATCACCAACTTCCGAGCCACCTACAGAAGACCCAGACGGCCCGGTGAAGCAAAGAGGAAGCCATCCCCCCCGCCCTCCCCGCCCCGTGGTCCTTTTCAGGAACCCAACGACACTGGAGAGGAAGGGCACACACAAGGCAGCCCACCTCTTCATACTTCCGGTCCGCCTCTTCCGCAATGTGCTTAGCTTCCTTGAGCTGGATTTCCTGGAGTTCCATCTTTTCTTCATCTTTTAGAGCTCGGTTCTCAATCACCTTCATGCCTCTGCCAAACGCAGGACAGACACGGCCCTCACAGGTCTGCGGCCAGCTCCACCCTGAGGGGCCCTGAACGGCACCTTCAGAAGCCTGTCCCCTCCGCCTGCCACCAAGGACTCCCACAGCACCCCCACCTTAGTGCGTTTTCTTTAAAATCTTTTCCAAAAAACTGACTTTCTCTTATAAAAAATAACACACATTTAAGAGGCGCCTGGGTGGCTCAGTCAGTTAGGCTTCCGACTTCGGCTCAGGTCACGACCTCACAGTTGGTGAGCTCAAGCCCTGGATCGGGCTCTGCACTTTCTCACCCTCTCTCTGCCCCTCACTCACTCACTCACTCACACTCTCACGCTCTAAAGTAAGTAAGTAAGCTCACCAGAGGAGAACTCTTCATAAGCTTTCCAGAAACGTTTTACGAAGATAAAACCCAAACAAACGTCATTCCCACTTTCCTACACCCCGACAGAATGACACACTACCCTGGTGTGTAACAGGCCTTCTTCACTTTCTAGAATTTGCACCCCGCTCTGTAATAAGAGCGCACACAGCCACAAGACACATTCTCCCGGCAGCATGGCGTCAACATACGTCCTACAGGGCAGTTTTGATTCTGAAAGCCTTCCTCTGACCCCATGCCTGTCAGCAGGCACCTCTGTTCTAGTTTACCTCACGGTGTGGCAAGAAGTCAATTGGCTGTTTTCAACAACAGACACAAAGGTGAGCTGTGGTTTGGTTCTCAACCCTGGGCACACGTAAAAATTATGACACCAACTTTAAAAACGTCAATACCAAGGGGGCGCCTGGGTGGCTCAGTCGGTTAAAGCGTCTGCCTTCAGCTCAGGTCATTATCTCACTGTGAAGTCAAGACCCGCATCGGGCTCTCTGCTGTCAGTGCAGAGCCCACTTCAGGTCCTCTGTCCCCCACCCCCCGCCGCTGCTCGTGCTTTCTATCTTTCACTCTCAAAAATAAACAAACTTTAACACCCCAATGGTCCCCACCCCTCCCCCCCACGATTGTAACGGTGCAGCCAAGGTTAAGAAAGCTTCTCCGCAGCGACCGCAGGGCTCCATCTCCAGAGCCTCCGCCTCCTAGAAGACGGGAGGGGCTGAGAGCCTGAATCTTCACCCAGTGCCCGGGGCTGCGGCCTCACCTGGAGAACCGCTGCTCTAGGGGGACTCATCTCACAAGTAAGGCCATGATTCCCTAAGTGGAGGCCATCCTGGTGGCCCTATTGAACAATCGTTAGATCAACTTATAGGGTAACACCAATTCCAAGGTCATGGAGCCCAGGGAGCCCTAGCCCCGTCCCGGCGTGAAACGCACGCCCGCAGTGTTGCGGGCTCCTCCGCGCGCCGCGCCCACCCCGCAGGCTCCCCTACTCACCTCTCGCTCTCGTCGGCGGCTTTCTCGGCCTCCTCCAGCTTCTGCAGGGCCGTGGCCAGGCGCTCCTGGGCCCGGTCCAGCTCCTCCTCAACCAGCTGGATCCTACGGTTCAAGGAGGCCACCTCAGCCTCAGCCTGTGTTTGGATGAGAGGATGGACAGAAGCAGCACTGAGACCGGGGTGAGCCGAGCGGAAGCCAGGGTGGGACACAGCAGCGCCTGTGCCAGGGCGGGCACGGGCACCGAGCGCACACGCCCGTCTCTGCCGTTCCCACCAGCCGGCCTCCATGCGCGCCACAGGAAGAGCGGTTTACAACTCCGCTCCCTGCCCGGCCTGGTGCCAGCCAGTGCTGCCTCCTTTCTGGACTCGGGTCAAGTTCCTGAGCGCACGGGTGTCAGGAAAGGCGTCTGGCGAAGGGCTCCTTCTGCCTGAGCCTGGGCGTCCTGCCCTCTCCGCAGCCTGCTTTCAAGTGTCTCATTAAGTGGAAAAATAAGAAGGAATTTCTTTTTTTAATTAAAAAGTTTTTATGTTTATTTATTTTTGAGAGAGAGAGAGAGAGACAGAGCATGAATGGGGGAGGGGCAGAGAAAGAGGGAGACACAGAATCTGAAGCAGCTCCAGGCTCTGAGCTGTCAGCACAGAGCCCGACGTGGGGCTCGAACCCATGGGCATGGGCCGAAGTTGGACGCTCAACCAACTGAGCCACCCAGGCGCCTCAAGAAGGAATTTTGGATTATCTATTAATTTGCTGCTGAAATCAAATTGTTAGCCATCCAATGAACTTATCCTAATACACCAGGGGACTCACTGGCCAAGAGAACATTTTTTTCAGAATAACAGTCCAGACCAGAAAGAAAAAGGATGCAACGCTGGGCGGGCTACCTACCCCACCCTCAATCCCTGCAACCTTCTCCCCACCCACCACCTTTTCAAAGGGGACACCAAGGAGCTCTTCTAACTAAAATCACCTGCCTGACAAACCAAAAAAAAAAAAAAAAAAAGGAGAGGAGCAGAAGAGAATGTTCCCTCCACGTCCACCCCGACTCCTGCAGACCTCTGAACTGTGACTCCCTTCTACTGCCCTGGTCATCCCTTAGCCTCACCCTCCTCCCAGCCTGTGAGGCCCCTCTCCCTGACTCCAGCCCACACAAAGGCTGGGGCCAGAACACAGGCCACCCCATGGCCCCTGCTCAGCACTGGAGTGAGACACGGGGACAGGAGGCAGCCTGCATGCGGGTGAACTCGGCTGGCAGAAAAGCCCCCCCTGGTGACGCCGTTCATGTCACTACGTCTTTGCTGGTGGCAAGTGCGCTGGCTGCCACAGCCACGCCAGGACCCAATCCGCTGGGCGCGCTCCCCGTTCAGACGCTTATCCAAGTGCCTGGTTAACAAGATCTCTCTTCTCCAGTCCAGGTTGTGCCTGAATTCCATTACCCTGATTTCCTCCCGGCAGTCGGGCGTGGGAGCAGCTACAGAAATAATCTGGGCCACCAGCCCCTATGGGGAGGGATACAGCCCAAAAGACTCCTGTTAACAATCAGGTTATTTGCGGGGCGCCTGGGTGGCTTAGTCGGTTAAGCGTCCGACTTTCGCTTAGGTCATGATCTCGCGGTTAGTGGGTTCGAACCCAGCGTCGGGATCTGAGCTGACTACCAGCTCAGAGCCTGGAGCCTGTTTCAGAGTCTGTCACTCCCTCTCTCTCTGACCCTCCCCTGCTCACGCTGTCTCTCTCTCTCTCTCTCTCTCCTAGAAATAAATAAAAATGAAAAAAAATCTAAAAACAATCAGGTTATTTGGCACAAAAATTTCCAAATACAAATATGGGAGATTTAAAGTCCTGTAGGGTCTGGGGCTATATAACCACCAACCCACAGAAGCAAAGTCACGAGTCCACATAAGCTGAAGTTACTAAGAACCCGTTTGTGTCTCTAACTATACTAGTCCACATACCACAAAGACAAGTATTCTCTGATCCTGTCTCTTCCGGGAAAACAGTCGTCTCCTCAGACACATTTCACCTCACGAGCTCAAAAAGGCCAACAACTCAAGGCAAGAACAAGTCAAGCTATCAGGCAAGGACAGCAAGCCACGGCCCATCTCCCCCTCCAATGCCTGGGACTATAAAAAGGAATTGAAGCAGATTTGGAAGAAGCTCATAAAATCTAAGTCTCCATCCAGCTCACCAGCAGTTACCCAAATGGAGAAGATAACAGGCTGTGGGGGCAGGCTGTACAGTTTCCATGACGACAAGCTGGCTCGGGCAGTTTCTCCCACAAATCGGCATTTACAATACAACTGTTCGCAAGGCAAGGGGAGGAGAAGGCACATCTTGGTGGCCTCCCGAGGGCGCGCACACTCTGGCTGGCCAAGGCCATATCAAAAGCAGAACCTGCCACGGGTGTCCCCGCCAGTCACTGTTCTCCTGCCTCTCCTGCAGAGGATCAGTTCTCCTCACAAGGTAACAGAAGCTCGCAGAATCCAGATTTAGGACTATGTCTGTGGGAAGGCTTTTCCTTCAAGCCAGGACCTACGCGCAACGCCCGTCCTTCCGGGGCACCCAAGTCCCGCCAGCCACTGGGTGGGATGACCTTCTGCAACCCAGCACGGCAGACGAGAAACCTTGTGCTGTTCTAATTACCCTAGGGTCAGCACGTCCAGATGTGGTTTTGAACTTTCAGCCCACCCACCTCTGTCCAGACTGGAGGATACACTCTGAGGTCTTTCCTTCAGGTAATAACAGGATTCTCCTCTGCCCAGGAAGGAAAGACCCCAGGGAGAAGGAGGGACACAGCAGCAATTCGGTCACATGAGAAGATGGCTGAACACACATGGGGCGACTGGGGCTCGGTTGGTTGAGCGTCTGACTTCGGCTCAGGTCACGATCTGGCCGTTGGTGGGTTCAAGCCCCACGTCGGGCTCTGTGCTGACAGCTCAGAGCCTGGAGCCTGCTTTGGATTCTGTGTCTCCCTCTCTCTCTGCCCCTCCCCAGCTTGCATTCTGTCTCTCAAAGGTGAATAACCGTTTAAAAGCAAGCAAGCAGACGGCTGACCACAGGTTCAGCTATGAAAGGAGTTTGGCTCAAGCGCTACCATCCTCCAAATAAAGAACTTCCCCAAGGCCGCCACACTCCTCAAGGCAAGGAGGTGCTGGGGTACTGGTGCCTGGAGGCAGACCAGGGCCAAGGACAGAAGGGGATTAGCCCCAACTTGGCACTCTGCCACTCTGGGGTTTCTCTTTTTAGACAAAAGCCACAGATGAAATTTTGATCAAAGGAAACCAGTAATGGAAAAGTGAGGCTGGGCCCTGTGAGGAAAGGAGTGCTCGGGGCTTCACCGTGTCCACGGTGTATCCACCCAGGGAGCCCTTAGGGACCTGAAAGTCCCGGGGGTGGGGGCGGGCAGGCGGAAGGAAGGGAGCAGAGCTACCTGCCCCGGAGTAAACAAAGGTGGAGGCTACCGGGGCAGCAGAGCAAAGGGCTGTTCGCCTCGCCCTGGGACTGCTGGGTCCACCAGACCCCAGAGGCCACAAACCGAGAGCCAAGCAACAGGCGTTCCAGCCCTCCAGAGACTAGAAATGGGGAGTAAGGCCAAAAACCCGTTTTGTTTTGTTTTTTAAGTTTTGTTTTTGGTTTTGAAAGAGAACAAGTGCGCACACAAACAGGGGAGAGGGAGAGAGCGAGAGAACCCCAGGAAGGCTCCGCGCTGTCAGCACACAGCCCAACAGGGGTCTTTGAACCCACGAACCGTGAGATCATGACCTGAGCCGAAGTGGGACACTTAACCTACCGAGCCACCCAGGAGCCCCAAAACCTGCTTTTTAAAGCCCACTTGTTTCTTCAATAGTGTTTCTCAATATTTCAGACCAGAAAAAAGGAGGGAAACACCAGAGTAAGTTAGGAGAGAGAGGTATTAAAAACAAGTAAGGTGAACTATGTATATTTAGAAACAGTTAAAATAGTAAATTTTACGTTATGTGTATTGTTACCAGCACTACAGAACAAAAAAACAAACAAAAAAAGAAAGCAAAAAACAAACCAAAAAACAGGGAAGGAAAAAGTGCATTTGAATATGTTTCTGCCCCCTGTTTAAGTCTAGCAAGAACTGCAAAGGAGAGTCACAATCGAAAGTATACCTGCCCTGGTGCCACACTGTAAAAGGTCAATCTCCAGACTAAAAGCAGAAAAGAAACGCGGAGCCCAGAACAACTCCGGAGTCAGCTCCGGCTTCATCCAGCTTCCCGACAAAGAGTGAATGTTCACACAAAGCGACCAGAAAAATCACTCAGTGACAGTCCCACTAATAGCCCGAGATACCATCAGGGAGTGCTCAGTTTCCACCTCCAGAGGAGGCAGGAGCCTGCAAAACCCACATTCCAGAATGCCTAGAGGGTAACAGGTAGCCCAAGCATCCCCTCCCTCCCCAGGGGTGTCTCCTCCTCAGCAGTTCAAAGTTCACCAGAGCAGAAAGTCAAAGGGTTAAGCTCCCTCAAGCTGGGGAACAGAAAGAAGAAACTGGTTTCATCAATGTTTAACTATCACCCTACTTCCCCATCTGAGCACTTCCTCACTAGGCCTCAACTCAGCAAGCAGGCTGGGCAGGTGCTGGAGGGAAGAGCTAAGAAACACTCTGCAGCCTATCACCCGCGTCACCTGGGGAGAGCAGGGGGGAAATGGAGCCAAATTTCCCTGCAAGGATGAATCCTGGGGGGAGAGGGGACGGGGTAAAGGGGTGTCACCCTAGATCTATGCCCAGGATGCCCATACTTGGAATGTTGAGCCTAAGACTCTGTACCACAACACATGGTCAGTTCTGTAAAAGCCACGCTGCCCCTTAAGGGGATCTAGTCTCCAGAACAAAGAAGATGAGAAAGTGTCACTAGCCATAAAGAGTCACCCAGCCAGTCCATCTCACTTGAATTGATTATTAGAAGTTACTCACACAGGGGCGCCTGGGTGGCTCAGTCTGTTAGGCCACCAACTGACTCTTGATTTCAGCTCAGGTCATAATCTCACGGTTGGGGAGTTGAAGCTCCGCACTGACAGTGTGGATCCCGCTTGGGATTCTCGCTCTCTCCCTCGCTCTGTGCTCCTCCCTTGCTCACTCTCTTTTGCTCTCTCTCAAAATAGGTAAAATAAACTCAAAAAAAAAAAAAAAAAAAAAAAGGTACCAATATAATGAACAAGGGGGAAATCCCGGACAGAGAAGTCAAGCCCCTAGCATTTCTATGCCCAGAGCATTCTAACAATCCTTAAGTACTAACCTGGAAGGCAGATGCTCCCACTTTCCCCCCAAAACAGCAATTCTCAGCCACTCCCCCAAGGAACAGCCAGGAAGAAAATAATTTTTACCAGGGAAGAGAACAACAAGGAATACCAATAAAACCACAAAAGTCCTTCCTTACGTCTTCAAACTTTAGCAACAGTTACTTTTCTCTCCAGTCTCAAGATTCTCCAAAACCAAGTCAGGAGATCAGTTCCACCTACAGGGAAATCTTGCGGCTTACTGAACCTACTGGACCACTGCGAAACAGAAAGCAGTTTCAAGAACCACCATTCATTTCATCAACATTTTATGTTCCAACTTTCCGTTGAACCAGTATCTATTATTTTTTCAAGAAAGAGACACCGTGGATGTCAACTGGAAAAGCAACAGAGTATCACTAGAGGCTCCTTGGAACGCACTGTTCTGTCTGCATGAACCACACCGCCGAGGTCAAGCAGAAACCGTGACAGAAACGGGCACTCAATCCGACTCTGCCACACAACCTGGCTTATCAGCTGTGCTTGGAAGAAGTGTTCGTAACCGGCTGGGCCTGCACTGATTACACTTCAGCAATAAAGGCCCGAATCTGGCAGAAGTCTCCGCCTTCCAGGTCATCATGGGTAGGGCCGGGCGAGTTCTGCCGGCTCGCACATTTGCACCAACGTAGCGAGCGAAGCATCAGCTCCTCCTGGGCTGCTTCGCGTCGGTTGACACAGTGGGTTTAGCAGTTGCCCCCAAAGAGGAAAGAGCCCCAGGCCGGAGAACGGGAGGCGGTGCTGCGGCCTTAACCTCCTCCAGGGAGGGCACCGCGCTTCCTCTCAGCCGACTGCAGCCTCATTTCCTGAGCAGGAGGAGGGAGCGGAAAGGCTGCCGGCAGCCCTGGCCGGGGGCTTTCCGGCGGTTCCCACCCCCAACCCCCACCCTCGCACAGTAAGTTGGCCCTGCCCCTCCCAGGCCAGAGCGGCACCCACCTACTCTCACCCTTCGGGCCGGAAACCCCTAGCGAGCGCGAATCCCGCCCCCCCACCCGCCCCCCGGCCCTTCACCGAGGAGTGGGGGAGGGAGAGGCCGCTGAGCCCCTCCCCCGGCCGCGCCTGCCTCCGAGGGACTGAATGAATGAGCAGGGAGCGGGGAGGAGGAGGAAGACACTTCCCAGGCTCCGCGAGGCTCAGTTCCTTCGCAGGTCAAGGCGGCTCACTCGGGCACCCAGTTCCCCCTTCGTCCGCCCCAGGCCCAGCTGCGGCTGAGCCCCACCCATCCGTCGGGCTCCAACTTCACCCCCGAGGGAGCCGGCGCCCGCGGCCCGCGCTCCGCCGCGCAACGAGGGCCCCCATCCGGGGTCCCAGCCCTGCAGCGCCCGCTCCCCCTTACGCGCCTCGCCCTCCCCGTACCTGCTCCCGGGCCCGCCTCTCCCCCTCCACTTCCCGCTGCAGCCGCTCGGCCCTCTCCTCTGCGTCGTCAGCTTGCTGCTGCAGAACCTGGATCTTGCGCTTCACCGCCTCGATGGTGGTGATCCCGGCCATGGTGCCCACCCAGCCCCTGCTCGCTCTCGGCTTCCTGCCTCCTCCGCTCGGCGCGGCAGCCGCTTCTCACCCCCACTTCCGCCTGCTCCGCCCTGAAATACCGGAACTCGCCCACCCGCCCGGATGTGACGTCACGCCGCGCCCCGCCGCGCCCGGCCCTGGGCGGGCGCCGGTCGGCTCGAGCGCCGGGCGGGGCCGTTCCTCGCCCGGCAAAGGGGGGCGGGGCAGCGCCGGGCGCGGGCCGCCGTGGCAGCCGAAGGCGCGCGGCCGGTCGCCTGGGCGAGGCGGGGTCCGCCCGCGCCGCGCACCCGACCCCGACCCGCTTCCACGCACCGCACGCAGACCCTAAACCCAGGGGCCGGGCCAGGCCGGGGCTGGTGGGCCGCAGCCTCCGCTCGCGGTGGGCCCAGGTCGCCGCCCGAGAGTCAAGGAGGGGACTTCGCGCCGAGGGCGGAGAGACGGCCAGGACGGCGGGCCGCTCGTTCCCTTGGCGTCGGTGCGGATCTCGTCCTTCCCGCGTCACCTCGGAGAGTCTCTGCACCAGCGGTTTACCCACCTGCCAGGCCTTCCGAACCTTGAGTGAGTTAGGCGTGGTCGCCGGGCGTCACAGTTCTCTGTGCAGGTGAGACTTTCTCGGGAAGGACTCCTCTCGGCTCGCTGCCACGACAGCCACGTGAGCGCCCGGCCGACCGTCCCGCGGGGCCGAGCCTCTGCTCGCGACCACGGCACCGGCCTCACCGCGCCTCTGCCCTCGGTGCCTGACGAGCTGCGTGGAGCTCGAAGCCGCCGCCGGCCCTGCCCCGGGGCTTCCGGAAGCACGTTAGCAAAGAGACTCGAGCGTTTTATCTCCTCTTCTCTCTTCTGTGAACGCCTGTCTTCCCAGGAAGCCATCATGACAAATGTCTCCTCTGGTGCGACTCTCTTTTCGCCTCGGAATTATGGTGTGGAGCAGGATTCAGGATTGAGAATCCTGATCCCTGAAATGGCTGGTGGGGAATCCAGGTGCTGCCCTCACTGCCTGGCTCTGAAGACACTCCCTCCGGAGGCCCCCTCTTCCTATCTCCTTTTAGAAACAGTGAGCAGTGAGCTATTTAGAGGAAACAATTCAAAGAGAAAATCATTTGCTTGGTGGAGTACACTGTGTACTGGTTTTTCCCTCCTGGAACTGGGAAGGAAGAACAAGGAGTAAACGCTACCCTGAGGGCCTAAGAATGTTTCCAGCTCTGTTTGAAGTCTGATGGAGATGGAAACAGAAATGAGACTTTGTCATCTGGGTGCTGATCAGCAGGGGGCACTGTTTACCTCCCTTCGCCCGAGTGAGGCGGCCGGAGCCCTCGGAGGCCCGCGCGAGGCTGAGCAGAGCACTGCTGCATTCCTGAGGCGGGTAGATGTGAACAGATAATCTTCTCTTGATCCAGGGAAACAGGTGGATTGACTCCTGATACCCTTTAAAGGCCTGATGGATGGGCAGCAAAGGGCCCAGTGCTATTGTTTTCCTGGTGAGCAACAATACAACAGTCTATCAGCAGGGGTACGTGTCCACCCCGGCCCTCCCGCGCCTGGGAGGACTCTGTCCTCACCTTGCACTCCTCTCTCCCCTTGCTTTACCCTGATGAGCGTCTGACATCACCTCGGGCTCAGAAGATCGCACACGGCTGCACAGCAATGCGAAGGTTCTTCCTGCCTTCAAACTGTATACTTAAAGGTCGTTAAAATGGCAAACGTTATGCATACCTTGTTACGGTTTTTCAAAGGGATTTCAGATAAATTCAGGGAGGAAAAATGTGAAGTTTGGACTGACCTTGCTATACCCTTACCCTTTACTTCGTTCAAGCAATCCAGTAAATCCTGCGCTTTCCAGAAAAAGCTGCTCAGATAACCAGAACTCCCTGTGTGAACATGCAGTTATTGACTCCCTGCGCTCCCTCTTCTCCCCTTCCGTCCACATCAGAGTAATACACTCTGTCAGTCTCCAGGGTAGGAGCTGAGCTGTGAACTTCCTGGCACATTTGTACTGGACAGGGCACCTCCCGCCAAAGATGCATACATCCTGCTGCTGGTGACCCTGACTCTTGCTCTCTACTTTAAACCTAATGCTTCCTCTTTATTCAGCACTTTTTCCAATTCCTATAAACACTTCACTTTCCTCCTTTGATCCTTTGAGGCAGAAACCCCCCAACTTTTTCTGTGAAAGCCCAGACAGTACGGCTTTTCTGGCTTTGCAGGCTACAGGGTGTGTTGACCACTCCGTTGTAGGGACGTGCCAATCGATGATGTGAAAACAAATGGGCCTGATGTCGTTCCAGGAAACGGCACAAAACTGGGCTGCGACAGGATTTAGCTCACCGGTGGAGGACGGCCACCCCCAGCTCTGAGGACCTGCTTCGACCTCAGCCTAATGTGTTTCTGCCTCCTGCTCATTGCCTTCGTGCCTGGGCCTGGGCCCCGGCACACCTCTGGGGGTACTTACTGACTTGTAGGGAAAGCTAACGGAGAGAGAGAAGTTCAATGAGTTTTTCTACCCACATATTATGTATTGAAATGGTTTTTGGTGGGTTCCTGTATAAACACGAGTAATTTCTTTCAAGCGAATATACCGACTCCCCCCCTCCCCTGTCTGGGTCGGGGATGGCGGTGTGTGTATGTATGTATGTGTGCAACAGCGTGGGACAGACAGAATTCATCCCCAGGAAATTCTTTTATCTTCCCACTGACATGGGGGTATTGTCTACAGCCTCGCTGTTTCTCTCTCCCAAGATCGAAGGTTAAACTTGTTTGCTCTTTTCATTGCCCCTGGACACACCTCCAGCCCACACACCCGCTCTTTCAGCTTGGACTCTCTGGGAGAGTTGTCACCCAACATCTCACAAAACTCCCCTTAACCTGACACTGCCAGTTTGCGGAAACTTCTGTCCCTATGAGCCAGAAAGACCAGCTGCCCATCTAGACCTGGAACCTTGGTCAGGTAGCTCCAACTGGCCATCGAACACTTGTCCAAAGCTCGGAAGGTAATCTGTGTTCGCTGCAGTTCTCCAAGAAGGGAGAATGAATAGCTTGCAGGCGACTAAACTCTTGGAGACGATGAATATGTATAATGTATATGAGCCCCCTTGTATCTGTGACCTCTGGCATGATACGGTCGACAGCCCTCGTCACCTTCTCTGACCACCACAAGTGGAAGGGAGCCAAAGAGGAGACGATGGACCTGAGAGCAAAGAGCCCAAACATGAGGATCTGGAAACATCTGTGAGTGGCCCACTCTGTCTCTATTTTCCAAAACGAAACGTGATTTTTAAAAATATGTGCTCCTAAAAAAAAAAAAAAATACATGCTCCAATTTTCCTGTTAACTGCGTGCTAAGAATTGACTATATTTCCATCAATACCAGGACATTCTTTTGTTGCTGTTATGTTACTTTTCTTCCAAACATCTTTCCTTTGTCACCTCTCATTTACTCTTGTGCTAAAGCTTGAAGGTAAAGGGAAGTAGGTGGTGACAGGATAAACATGAAGTGGAAAAAAACAATTTATTTCATGTTCAAATGGGAAAATTCAACCCAGCCATAGAGAAGCTGAGTAATTGATTCAGTGCCAGAAAGTGAGGTATGGTGGTGACCCCTTTACCCCCTGTAAGATTCCTTCTTGTTGCCATATAGACTATATGGCATCTCTGTGGCATAGGGGCTGGTGCCCACATTGGCCCAGATAGATAAACCCATATAGGACCAGGGTCAGTGTGACCTCTTTTGTCCCATTGTGAAATCTGACCTGACTCTGCTGGGCACTTGAGAGATGAGAGTTTCCCTATTAATACACATATCTGCGTGCCAGGGCTCGGACACAAAAGCCAGGAATGTGGCATGGGGGAGGAGACGGGGAAAATGATAGTAGTCTGGACCCGGAGTCCCCTCCCTTTGTCCAGGTCGTGGGGAACATAATGAAACTCCTAGGTTGGGGATGAGACAAAAACGAGACCTCTACGTGCCTTTGAGAACAAATGCATGCGCCGTTAGGAAGCTGTGTCAGCATGTGATTATGTGCAAAGCTGTAAGTGAGCATCTGTGTCTACGCACTGTGAGTCCACAGGTATGTGTGTGTTCAGTCGTGGAGTTTGGTCCTATCAACACGGCGCTCTGCACGCGCAGGCTAACCCACCTTCCGGCTCTCTAATACGTACGTCCGCAGCCTTCTTCTCTGCCAGCTCCAGCTTCTCCTGGGCGTCCTTCAGAGCTTCAGAATACTTGTCCAGCTCGTCCTCCGTCCCTTTCAGCTTCTTCTGCATGGCTGCCAGCTCATCCTCCAGCTGCAGGACCCCCAAGAGTCACACACAAGACACACACGCAACGGCGCAGGCTCAGACCCAGGGCTCCTGTGCTCATTCCTAAAGAGGCATACTTTCTTCCCAGCCACGTCCAGCCAACTGCCCTAGGAGTTATGCCTTGGCCTGTGACCCTGGGATCTCTGACCCTGAGATGACCAAGCCATGGTGGGTTTTCATCTAAGACCCTGGGATGGTAAGGCTGTAGATGCCTGTGACTCAGATTAGGGCTGGCTCTGTCGGTAGAGCATGTGACTCTTGATCTTGGGGTTGTAAGTTCGAGCCCCATGTTGGGTGCAGAGATATGTTTACTTCGAAGTAAAATCTTAAAAAAAGATCAAGGGAAAAGAGATGCTGCGTGCCCAGCCCCCACCTTTTCCTCTAGAAACTGGGTTCTCCCAAAACATGATCCACCCCCATTTAGATCCAGCAGACACACCATGGCTCAGAGGGGCTGCTGGATCTCCCAAGGTCACACAGGCACTAGAGCAAATACCCTAGATGTCCGCCGCCTACCCCGTGATGTGGGGGAAGAAGAGGGTCCCTCCCACCCGAAGAACAAGCTGGCCCTGGCGGCCACCGCCTTCCCACGAGAACCCCCCCATCTCACAGTCCTCCTCGCCGGCCGGCGGGAGAGACAAATGCCGGAACCTGCCTGCTTGCTCCTCTCTTCCGCCTGCTTTTGCTCCGCCTCGGCCTGCTCCGCCCGGTCCAGCGCGTTCTCCTTGTCCAGCTTCAGCATCTGCATCTTCTTCTTGATGGCCTCCATCCTGAGCAGCGGCTGCCGGTGAGCTCGCCGGTGGGCGCAGCAGAACTGGGCACGGGCAGGAGAAGGGGGCTGGGGGCTGAGTGACCAGGAGCCCCCCAGACTCCAGCCTTTATCTGTGCCCTGGGCTCCACCTCTTCTTCCTAATATGGCCTTCCAGCTCCTTCCACGCCATTGTTGTCCTCCCTGGGGGAAGCACAGGGTGAGACGCTTTGATGGACTGACATCACCAGCAAAGAAAAATTGGGGAACAGCTGAGGCTGATTTTAGACAATGGAACGTGGGGGAGGGGAGAGGTTCTCCCTGGCCCTGGAACTTTCCACCCTCTGGGCAGCTCCGTGGGTGTTTTAAAAGAGCAAGGGGAGGGAGGGGAGAACACTGAAATCCAGGGGGTCCTTCGGCAGTTCTAGGAGGGTAGTTTTCACCCAGAGGCTCCTAGTTGCCCTTCTGTTTCCCCATCACCCTCACGCCGCCTGTGTTGGATGCTGGTCAAAGTCCACTGGTTGAGTTTCACCTTTTGATTCCCAGTATTCAGGGAGCTTGAGCAACAGTGAAAAGGAGAGGTCACTCAGGATGATCCTTGACAATTCCCCCAGATCCCCAGATCGAATTACTGTGCTATTTCAAGAGTCTGTAATTGGCAGGGAGACATCATTCCTCCCCCTTAGGAGCCACAGGGATGCAGTAAGCGGTGGCCATTGGTCTCCCGAAGGCCCTCGCAGCGCTTCAAGAGGGTGGAGGAGAGAAGCAGGGGAGCATCAGAGCAATCTGGGTGGGACTGCGCCCTCTGTTTGCCCACAGTGATTTTTTTTTTTTTAATGTTTTATTTATTTCCAGGAGAGAGAGAGAGACAGCGCGAGCAGGGGAGGGTCAGAGAGAGAGGGGAGTCACAGACTGAAACAGGCTCCAGGCTCCGAGCTGGCAGTCAGCACAGAGCCCGATGCGGGGCTCGAACCCACGAACCGCGAGATCATGACCCAAGCGAAAGTCGGACGCTCAACCGGCTGAGCCACCCAGGCGCCCCATGCCCACAGTGATCTTTAAGTAAACTTCCATGCCCGCACCGGCCCTGTGTGCTGCTCTCCAGTCTTCCTGCCCTCTGCTCCCTCCTTACCCCCACCCAACCTACCACCAGCCACACATCACAGTCACCATCCGTGCCGGCTCTGTTCTCCCGGACTTCATTCCAGGACGTGTTCATTCCTCCACTTGGAGCCTGTCGCTGACAGGTGGCGACTGACCCCAGTACAGCAGCACCACACAGTCTGAGGCTGTGTCAGGGGAGAGGTGGGCACTGCTGGTGGCCAGAGCTATCAGAGAAGAATGTGAATGTGTCTAATTAGTCATGTGTCAAGGCCAGATGGCTGGCGTTAATACTAAGCTCCAGCAGGGGTAACTGAGATGCCCTCCGGGGCTCTATCTCTGTTTCGCTCTCAAAAATAAATAAAGATTAAAAAAATAATAATAAAGGTGGGGGGCAGTGTTGAATAAGGAGGAAAAGAGTCCAAGGACAGAAGAGCAGGGACGCATCCCTTCTAGTTGCAGGGAGAACTGAAACTCCACTTCCGGCTTCAGGCCCCCCCGCCAGCTCTCCAGCCTAAGCGTGAAACCCGCGTGGGCTGAAGGCCCTGGTGTTCCAAAGGGACCCTGGGGATAAGCAGTTCAGTAAAGGGGCCCCAGAGGTTGATGCCAAGTTGCCCACTGCTGTAAGAATATGTTTGATATTTAGTTGGTTCCTAATTAAACAACCCAATATCAAACATATCACACAGAAGCCGGCAGGAGAGCTCTGCGGCTCGTCCGCCTTCCTCCCCTCCGGCCGCCATGCTTGGCTAGATGGAGAGCCGTCTCCTTGGGGAAGGACACCGACCCCCGCGCTTTGCGTCCCGAGACAGCTGGCTCTCACAGCCCCGCCCTCCGTGCTGTCCCTGTATCGGCGCCCCTCCGACCAGCGCCTGGCCTCTGCTGGGTCACAGTGGCCGAGACCAGGTCGCCTGTCGGGCAGGGCTCCACGTCCGGGCGCCTACCCTTTCCAAGGACTCCCACACAGCTCCCCGCCGAAGTCACGCCTGTGGCGCCACGGGCCAGCCCGGCCACCTGCTCTCCTCAGCCTCCCTCCCGCTGCCTTGAGGCTTTCGGGGGGGGGGGGGGGTTGCACATCCTGCTTTACCTTTTGAAGGGAGCTCCTAACCCTCCAGGTCACCCCACCAAACTGCCGAGGGCCTTTCAGCCAATGGCATCGTAGAGACCTCCTGTTCTCAAGCATTACAGAGACGTAGGTGCGAGGACCTCGCGGCACGCGTGGCCGCTCCTTCCCATCGTCTCGTTCCTTCTTCTCCCCGTGTCTTCCAGGCATCCGTGAAGTCCCCCTTGGGTGTCCGGAAGGGACGAGTGACCCGTGCCCCTGGCGGGCTCCAGCCTGGGCTCCAGAGATTTGTGGTCTTCCCTGCCTGGCAGAATTGAGACGAAGACTTTAGGAGATGAAGGGCAGTGCCCCTCTGCCAGGAAGCAGCCCACAGTCCTGAGTGCTCTTCTCTGAGGCCTCCCCTCCCAGGGGTCCAGCCCGGTTCCCCTCTGGGGGCTTTTCTTCCCAAGACGATCAGGTCTGTCGAGTGCGCTGTGGCAGGCATAAGCCTCTCAGCGCCGGGGCAGGGCAGAGCCCAAGTTATAGCTGCAGCGGGCGGGTGGGGGGCTTGGGTGGCGGTGCAGGGGCAGGGGGTGCTCTGCTTCAGCCCCAGGCCTGTTCTGTGTGTGTCCTTGTTCCCGTTAGTCTGGATTCCCACCCCCACCCCTGCCCCCAACGCATACACCAACTCCGCAGTGCCCTTGATCTAGATCAATAGCTTGTCCAAAGCCCCAGTCGATTCCCACTGTGCGCCTCGGGCCCTCCAGGGGCAGGAGGCGAGAGGGCGCCCCAGCCCCACAGTAACCCTGTGGTGGTGTCTTGCGTCCTTGCTACTCATGGCTCTTCCTGGGGGCGTGTGTGTAATTTTCGCTCTCGTGACCATCTGTCTTACCCTTACCCCCACGTTTGGTTCCCTTCTCTGGGAACCTCGGCTGTCCTGGTGAACCAGAGGCTAGGAAACGACAGGAACTGAAAGCACTTGTGTTTGGGGAACACTCATGTAGAAGAGGGGCAGCTCTCTCAGAAGGCGGCTCTGACTTCGGGGCGTCACCAGGCAGACCTCAGGCAGCCTCCCATCAAAGCCAGAGTGCCTCCTGTGTGGCCGTCTCAAACCAGGCCGCACCCCCTGAGCCGGAGGCGGCGAGTAGGGCACCAGCCCTAGAAGAAAAAAGGGTTGGGGGGGGGGGTATGACCGGGTGAAACAGCTGATGTGATGAGAGCAGACAGGGAGGCAGAGGGGATCACAGGAGACAGGCTCGGAGGGCAGGGGCACAGCCTGCCAATACCGGGCCAGCCTGGCTCTGACAAGCCCTGGGGAGAGAGGCCAAGGTCAGGGACCAAGGCAGAGGGGGTGGGGGTGTTGTGTGAGTCCCAGTAAACAGAGGAAGGGGGGGGTGTAAAGGGGCTGCTGCAGGAGAGGGGGTGGGGGCAGCCAGGTAACGGAGAGGAAGTATGAAGGGAAAGCAGCTCTCGGGGGCAGGAAGACGTTATGGCTTACCATTTATCAGACATTATGTGCCACGTCTCTGCAAAGTGCTTTATTTCATCCCCACAGCAACCCAGGAAGGTAGGTATTATCTCGTTTACAAACAAGGAGTTGTGACCCAGAAAGTTAAGGCAACTCGCCCAAAGCCATGCAGGCGGTAAATGACAGAGGCGGGATTCACGCCCAGATGTGCTGCGTGCTGGGGCCAGGTCCTCCTGGACACCGTCCGCAGCAGGGGCGGCTGGGAGGCAGCTGCGGGCAGATGAGGGGCAGGCAGGGGCTGGGGGGGAGGTGACCCCCGCAGGAACGGAGACCCAGCCTTGGGCTGCTGGTCAAGTCCAGGCTGCATGCGCCTGCTTCTGTCCCTCGTAACGTGTCACCTCGCTTTCCTTCCCTGGCCACGCCTGTCTCCCAGCCCGTGAGACCCATTGTTGGCTATAGGAAGTCACGAGTCACTGACTACAGATGCTCGGGAAGCTGGGCCGCTGGGGGCGAGGACGAACGGGTGCACGCGGCAGAGACACAGGCATGCGGAGGAGTGGCATCTCGGGTGCATAGGAGGTGCCCGGGGGTGGTGAGGGGCCTGTGAGTGGCCTGGGTCAAGGGGAAACCTGAGAGGGGAAAGGGAGGGTACCTGCTGTGTGCCAAGCACTAGGCTTGCGCTCTACAAAATTTTATTTAATCCTCATAAGGATCCTAGGAGATGGGGAAATGGGGATGTTGTCCCCATTTTCAGAAGAGGAAACTGAGGCTCAGAGAAGTAATTTAGACAAGGTGACAATTGAGAGGAAGCAGACTTAGAACCCACACCTGACTCCAAAGCCCATACCCTTCTCTATACCTGCTGCCCCTCCGTGCCCGTCGGTGGGGTGTGCAGGGAGAATGGGCGGGGGTGGGCTCTGGCGTCACAGATGAGAAACGTGCACTGAGGGAGGGAGCCAGACTGGGGGCGGCAGGAGGGAGGCACAGCTAACGCAGCAGAGGGCAGGACGAGATCAGCGTGGAAGGGACAATGGCCAGCGAAGATGCTGACAGCAAGGGACAGGCAAGTTGTCCTGGTCTGGCGGTGACAGCGGCCCCGCACCTGTTACCGGCTGCTCTACCGGGGTCTCTGTGGCTTGTGATGTCATTTTATGTAAAGTAGATCTTCATAAGTAAGGTTCTCTGTGGCCTGCGATGCATGTGACCAACCAGTACCTTTGAGAATTCATGAGAAGCTGAAGGCCGTTAGAGCGAACGTGCTCCCGGCAGCTTCACATAAACCACTACTCCTTACTTCCTTACAGCGGCCTCACCCAAGGCACTGGGGTCTGGAGCCCTGTCAATCTGCAGAGGTGGGAGTTCAGGTCCGGAGGAAAGAGACCCGTCCCAGGCCTCATCACTGGAACCCCAGGCCTCCTGCCGGCCGAGCGCCACAGCACCCGCGGGGAGCAGCCAACACAGAGCTCTTTGTCCAGGAAGACAGAAAAGACGAGAGGAAGTGAGATCGGAGAGGCGGTGAGCAATACCCAGGAAGCTGTTTCAAGATCATGGCTATAAATAAACACTCTGAAACAAATCAAGACTTAGGGCCGCAGAACGAGCCGTTACGAGGCAGCTCTGTTTCGGATGCCATCAGAGCCTCTCCACGTAGAAAGCTCTGCCCGTCTGATTCAGCTCCCGCTCGTACTGCCGAAGCTCCGCCTCGAACAGCTGGCACAGGGCCGCCCGACGGACCTGGCGGGGAGGGCAGAACGTGGCGTCAGGCTTGCTGCTCGCCCCCTCTCCCATTCTCCCTGCACAGCGGTCCAGCGCGCGTCCTCTGGGTTTGGACTTAGCTGTGACCCAGAGCTAGGCGGCAGCATCGAGGGTGCGCACCGGATGGGAACCTACCCAGTTCTTTCTCCGTGGACGAAGCCCTACGTTCAGCAAATATTTGCTAAGAACACCATGAACCATGACCTCTGCCAGGCACCAGGATACAGAGATGGTGACATGCTGGCACTTGGGTACTCCCGGGGGGAGGGGCTCTGAGACGCAGGTGGTGGACATGGAGATGAGGGGAGCAAGGACCAGTCCGCGCCCCGGGACTTGACGATGTGTCACCTGCAGCTGGAGGCAAAGAGCCACTTAACGGAACACATTACTGCCCTGGTGTAATGCTCAAAGCTTCAGCGGCAGACAGGGCGGGCTGGGGACCCGGCGGACCGTAGGGCACTGAGAGTGAGGCTTCAGGCCACCCTCGCTAGAACTCACCACCAGCAGCTGCTTACGGGCCAGGGCCAGCTCCCGGCCCATGGCGTCCTGCATCCTCAGGGTAGCATACAGGTTCCTCCTCTGGTCCAGTGTCGTCTGCCACAGACAGTGGGTGTGCGAGTTCCGCCACCTGCCCCGGGTTCGGAGGAAGGCGCTGAATGGGTCAGTTAGGAGGGCAGACCCGCGGCGCGTCCCCAGAACTGTGCCACGTCAGAGGACAGCGAACTCCTTGAGGGGTGACTAGAACTGAGGACCTTGTATGCACTGAATACACAGGCCACTTAATCATCACAACCGTGTGTCAGAGATGCTAATCTTTGCATTGTACACACAGAAACACAGTTCAGGTGACTTGCCTATGGTCACTTAATGGCAGACCTGGGTATCAAAACCCAGTGTAAAAATTAATCCCTTGTATTATACCATGATTCTCAGCCTAGGCCAGACCCATTCTGGAATTATTTGTTAAGGTTTTTTTAATAGTTTTTATTTAATTTATTCTTGAGACAGAGAGAGACAGAACATGAGCGGGGGAGGGGCAGAGAGGGAGACACAGAATCTGAAAAAGGCTCCAGGTTCTGAGCTGTCAGCACAGAGCCCGATGCGGGGCTCAAACCCACAAACCGCGAGATCATGACCTGAGCTGAAGTCAGACGCTTAACCGACTGAGCCACCCAGGCGCCCCAGTTTTTATTTATTT